ATTCCAGTATGATTTCCCTTCATGTTTGAGAATTTGAAAATGAGACTAGATGATTGACCTGGGTTGTTGTTCATAGCAAGATAAGGTGGAGCATCAGTCGGGGGGGGGATTAAATTGAATGTTTTTTCCAGATTGAAATGTTTTTAATTGTTCAAGAAGTATATATTTGTGTTTCTAAAAAGAATTTATACAAAATCTTTTTCTTATATCGTAGTATGGTCGAATCTGGTTAAATGGACCACCGGGTAATCGGACCAGCTGCTTTTTCGGACCGAATCCTTAAGAACTGAAACAAATCCTTTGTACATAAGCCTAATATTATTCGCTTGTTTGGACCAAAATTCTGTTTAATTAGACCAAAAAATGTGAGAGTGAATTAGAAACAGAAGCCACAAGTCGGCAGCGTACAGTGGATGTACAGGTGATCCGCGATATATGGGAGGATCTGTAGCTGCACTCCCCAGGATAATGCTTTATCAAAGGTCATGAATTCCTTAAAACCTTTTACACACCAATGTTCCATAAATGGAACATCAAATTTAAAATTTCATAAAAAACACAATTTTATTAATATTGCTTTGTATAAATTATTACATGGAGAGTAAATATGGATGGATGTTTTAGTAGCAATATATTTCTTCTAAAAAAAAATTATCTTGATAAAAAATTCATTATTTTAACCTTTTTTTCCTTCTTATCTAAGAGCAAAATTCGGAAATTCATATAAAATTAAAAATTCAACAAATATTTTTAAAACTCGATGAGGATATTTAAGAAGGATCATTTTGTGCATAGACAGTAAGTTAACACAGAAAGATGATTATTATTTTTACTAAGGTAAGAATTGTGGATGTTCCAGAAAGGGAACATTGGCGTTTAAAGGTATAGTTTTTAACATGATGAAATTACTTTGATTGCCATGAAGAGAGGCACGGAGAAAGATTTTCCAAAAGTGAAAAGTTCCAGTAAGTTTGAAAAATAGATGTTTATGACTGTTAATCTGTTTTCGACTCCCGTATATCCGCCTCCTCTCCTTTCACACATTCCCATAAGAGTTTGAAGTGAGTTACTCACAGCTGCTTGAGAAAAGCACGTGGCGTTTCTTGATATGCTAGACGCTAGATGTTGTTTATGACTCGGTGAAAAAGGCGTATATTTTGGAGTGTAGATTTCATTATTTTCCCAATTTTTGCATTTTTTTTTTTTAAGTTAGTGAAGATATACTACGCTGATAAGATGGCTCATTCAAAACCATTTCAGACTATTGAAGAAGCATTAGAATATTTATATACATTATCAGATGATGAAGAGTGTATTGATATTTGTAAACTGCCTCCAGAAGAAACTGGATGTTTGACAGATGAGGAAGATGTAAATGAAGATATTTTTTAGCCTGTTCTGCCAGCGTATGTATGTGGAACAATCGAAATTTCTAATAAAATAGATGATGATGAAAATCTCAAGAAGTTTCATTCTATCCTCAAGAACCTTCATCTTCAAAGGGAAGGAAGAATTTGAAGCAAACACTAAATCCGAAAGAGAAAAACGTTGAACATCGGGGGGGGGGAATTTAAATTTTAAAAGAATTCTAAAAACTGGCAGCATTGAAAATATTTGCGAAGTATTTCCTGAACTAGTTACTTTATCTCCAATTGAGATTTTTCACAAGTTCCTAACTAGGGAATATTTGCTGCATTTAGCAAATATGACAGGTCTTAAGGAAATGCAGAAAGAAGTTTTAGCTGTAGACGAAAATGATATTGGATAGTTTTTTGGATTATTTTTGTTTCGCGGGTATCATCAAGTGCCCGGCGAAGATTTATACTGGAGCACTCAAGAAGATTTATCTGTCCCAGTAGTTTCTTCTGTAATGCCAAGAAATAGATTTCGAAAACTGAAAAAATATTTTCATGTTATAGATAAAATCAAGTTAGCATTAGGAGATAAAACAGGAAAAGTTTCTCTTTTTAGGAAGAACTGGAAAAAAAAAAAAAAACTTTCAATAGTTCGGTATCTTTCATTCCTGCAGTGTGATTTTTGTATGGAGATTATTTGTTACTTATTTCTACAACTCTTTTCCTTGTTTCAGTATAAACTACTAACAATGTAAAATTCTTTTATAAATTCTTGCTTATCAACTATGTAATTTCTGTTTTAATTTATTACGAAAGCTTTTTTCTGTGGAAGCTTCATATCTTCTCCTAAGAAATTTTGGTGGAGTAGCTTTGTGATTATAAAGGTGTAGGCTCCCTATTTTTCTGCTTAATGTATGTTACTTCTAAATAACATTGACAAATTCACTTGCTAATGCTGAAAAATTGCAGACAAAAATGAAGCTTCGAATTAAAATGTCGGTAATCATGTTTTACAAAAATCATGTAAAAATTTCCCGCCAATGTTCCATTTATGGAACATGTTATAAATTGTTAAAAAAAAATTGTTTTAATTTTTTTTCTTTTTTCATAATTCTTATATTTGAGTTTTAAATCGATTTTTCACAACAAAATGTTTATTTTACTTTCACATCATAGTTTGGCGTGTAAAAGGTTAAAGTGCATGACAAGAGCAAAATCAGTGGGAGGTGAGCATGCACGCCATTTTCTTTGACCTTTCTTAAAACAGAGCCACCAGTAGCCGCCAGCTAGGTAATTGGTCCCACTGCGTCTCTGATTTTCGAGGAAATGAACAAGAGTGTCCGGCTCCACCTGAAGGGAATTCCCGCCTGCCAATAATCATGATTAAAGTTTACACGAGAAAGCTATCATTTCACCACCCTTTTGGAATGATTGTAGTGCCAAAGCTTTGAATGGCGAGCATTTTATCTCCCTCTTCACCTCAACATCTTGACCCCAAACACCAAGGTTTCTTCAGTCCACTTTAGTCAGTGAACTGTGAGCGTGTCTTGTCTCCCCTACTTGGCATTAGCTGAAAAAATTGGTTTTCTGGATAAGATCAAGCAAGAACCACGAAACACTGGTCAGCGTCGGTTGGTGGAAATTACCGGATTGGCAAAGACTACAATTTCACGTTTGATAAAACAAGAGAATGACCTGCAAGAAGAATGGGCAGAATATGGAGGACGATAAGGAACTTAAAAAAAAAAAAAAAAAAAAAACGGAAGCAGGAAGGCAAGGATTCAGACGTCGATGAGGCCCTTAATGAATGGTTTGTCATTGTTACTGAACGAGCTGTGCCAGTAAGCCCCCCAATGTTATAATGCAAAGCAGAAAAACATGCTAAAAAGCTGGGCCACAATGGCTTTAAAGCTACGGACAGTTGGCTGTCTCAGTGGAAATCTAGACATAATATAAAATTCAGGAAAACACGTGGAGAGAAAGAAGGTGCTGATAGTGCAGATGCTGAAGAATTGAAATCAACAAAACTGCCCGAGCTTCTTGAAAATTTTTCAGCAGATGACATCTACAATGCTGAAGAAACTGGGCTGTATTATCATGCTACACTGGACAGCTCATTAAGTTACAAACATGTTGCACTCTCTGGCTCCAAAAAAGCGATGGATCGAGTAACTGTCTTATGCTGCTGAAACATGTCGTAAATGGATAAGAGGAAGCTGTTGGTTGTAGTAAAAAGCACTAAGCCTCACTGCTTTAAAGGACTTAGCATGCACAGTTTACCAGTCGTGTATCGTGCAAAACATAAATGCGGGGATGACCTCTGAACTTTTCAAAGAATGGCTGAAGGATTGAGACAGAGAGCTACAATGCCAGTCGAGAAAAATGCTGCTTACTCTTGACAATTGTGCAGCACATCCTCATTTAGATTGCTTGAAGAATATCCAACTGGAATTTCTACCTACCAGAACCACAGTTTTGGTTCAGCTAATGGATATGGGCATCATCAAAAATTTGAAGACCTTTTATTGTTCAAGGTTGATTAATTATATCCTTGAAGCAATTGAAAAAAGTTTGCTGACCTCGTTGTCAAAAGCCAGCGAAGTCAGTACAAAGGTCAACATCTTACTTGCAGTTACTCATGCGGCCGACAGCTGGCTAAAATTGAGCAATGAGACAATTCAGAACTGTTTTTCTCACTGTGGCTTTAAGCACTTGGTTTTGGGGTTGGATGTGGGCATGCTCATTGAAAGTGAAAATGATGATTTACATGTGGAACTTCAACAGGTACAAAATTGAGAAGAATTTTTATCCATTGACAATGATCTTCAATGCTACGTTAAAAATGAAGATTACGACGCTGCAGTCGCTGCTATCGTGTGTTTTGCTGCAACTTGAGTTGCAGCAAAACACACGATAGCAGCGAAAGACCAAGAAAGTGATTATGATGATGCCGTTTATAAGTTGGTGCAAGTGACAACACAGGATGCAAGGAAATGCATTGAAACTTTGCATCGGTATTTCATGCAGAAGAGAAATGAAGGCAGATGTTTGTGGCGATTTCGTTCACGTGTAATTTGTCAACAGAACGTGTCAGATAAATTGGGTAAGATTTTCAAATGTTGACTGGAACTTGGTAAGAACTTGTTTTTATTGTGCTTCGCATGCTGAGTATCATGGAGATTGTTTTTTAAAATTTGTTTTAAATTAATTTTCTCAATAAAGAAAAGTTCAACTGTAGTTCTTGTTTGTGTGCATGTATGTTCCGCATACATGTGTACTGCACAATAAAGGTCATAATTACGTTCTAGTACATGATTACTGTTTGCTACATATACCACATCCCGACTTACAACATAGGACATGTTCGTGTAATCGGACTAGCCGGTTATTAGGACCAAAACGATCGCTTCCTGATGTGGTCAGATTAGCCGGAATCGACTGTATTTATGACAGATTTTGGGAAGGGGAAATGAAACACATGTTAAATCATTGTAATTTATCTTTAAAGGCTTTCATGTTGTTTAGTATATATATATATATATAGGAACTTTAATAGACAATGAAATTTAATCACTGGTCTAAATAATTTTTTTTAAAATTTTTTATTCTGAATGAGTAAGCTATTTTGAAGTATTTCTGTTGCAGGATTTTCATGAAGAACATGCTATTCAAGCTTTTCAAAGGTATGACAAAAAGAAAAAAGGTTTTATTTCAGCTATGGACTTCAGCCATATTATGATGTCTGTTAAAAATCACTTATTAAGTGAGGATGTGAAGCGTAATTTAGTTGGTGTGAGTAAATATATGTGTCATTTTATGCCATTTTTATGTTTGCTTCTTTATTGTTTTCACAATACTTAACGTACTATTGCAACCATCTTAGTAGAAGTAGCCAAATTTTCAGAAAGTGTCAAACTCCGGCAACCATGCTTATAATAATCATTTCAGCCAAGCAACACTGCTGTTTTTGTACACATTATATTTTGTTGTATTCCAGGTTTCAATGGTTTTTATACACAAATCGTGATATTTTTTACCTTTAGCTTAGTTTTAAAATATGAGCTTATGGAATTTGCCAGCAATGGAAGAAAACGGTAAAATTTCCGCAGTAATACAGAATTTTGATGAAAATTTTCTTAAGGAAAACACAAGAAAATGCGTTTTCTAGATAGCCAGTGTTGCTGAAGATTGCACAAAGCTGAGTCTCTGCAATTCTCTGATGCTTTTTTAAGTGAAAACAGATCGGTGTTAACTTCGGGAGAAGAATAATGAAAGAAAAAAAATTACAGAAAGATTCAAAGAAGAATGCAAGTGTTTTATTTTTTAATGCATGACGTAATCCTGATTTAATAAATCAAATTTGAATTTTAATTTTCTAAAGTTTGTTTTCTTTTCCTATGTTCATATTGTTTACCAAATTTAATAAAAATATCAATAGTTTGGGAACCTTCCTAAAAAAAGAAGGCATGAAAGCCACCAACTTCCACATGCTAAGTAACTTTTACATTTTCATCCGTACAGAATTGCGAAGACGGTAGCAATAGTACGTAAGTACCATTTTCACTTTCTAATTTTCTAACATTATCATTGTATTACTCAAGTGCGTGTGTACCTTTTTAGTTCTAAAATTACATTTGAACAGAGGATTTTTGTTTCTGTCTTCTGATATGTTATATCTTTTTAGGCAGCTGGTGGCACAGCCGGTCATCAGGTTTCTTTTCCATACTTTATGGCTTTTAATACATTATTAAATAATATGGAATTAGTAAAAAAAGTGTATTTAAATTTTACAAGAAACAATATTGCCTTGGAAGTAACAAAAGGTAACAATACTACTTTCCTTCCTCTTAAATATTATGCTTATTTTTTGGTTTTTAGGCAAATAGTTGTCATGTTCTTTTCCTTAATGAAACCAGTACAGATAAATTTATTTTCTACACATGTTATAATAAAAAACTGCTAATATTAGGTGCGTAAGGTATATTTTAATTTTAAAACAGTTATTTAAGTTTATGACACATTCCTATCTCTTCTAGCTTCAGCTTACAATTCCTTACCAGAGAATGAGTTTTTAAAATCCGTTAAATGCAAATGAGAAGTATTTAAGTCAAGTTCCTCTGACTTCAAGAGAGTCAGTTATTTATGTATTTTAAGTCAAGTTCCACTGACTTCAAGGGAGAGAGTTAGGATTCCAGAATAGCACGTTTGCCTCTCTCTAAACTGTTACTACATTTGGCTGTAGTATGTGCCGAGTGTAGTAACAGGTTTAGAGGGATTTAACAAAATAGCCAGCAAAGCTATTTGACTTTTGGCTACGTCTCCCACGTATGCTTTTGATAGCTTTGCTGGCTAATTTAATATTACAGGCCAACTAGTTTAGAATTGTGTTAGCTTCAGCTAAATCTCTTTATCTAGTCATTAGTTAGTTCTTATTTCTTACATTTTGAATTTATGCCCAAGTGGAGGCTTTGCTGTATGAGAAAGGGGCTAATTGTTAAATCTTTATTTTGAGCAAATAAAGGGTTATTAACCCTTCTTGTGTTTCCTTTCTGTTCTTGGACTTAAGAAGCGATTGTTTGTTTAGTAGTTCACTAGGTTCCTCGACATTACATTTAATAGTATAAAAGTAGGAAACCCTACAGGTGAATGCCTAAATTGTGGAATGTTAACATGAGGGATCTTATGTCAAAAAATCAGGTAATAATGTGGTATGTGATCTGCGGCGTTTAGTTCGTTACTGTACTGCTTTCAGTTAGTGAGTAAATCATGCCTTTTAACTGGGCACAGATTTAATTTTAATTCTAAATAAATTAATGAATGCAATCCATATTTCATTGCAATTTTTTTTTACTTTATTAATATGCTAAAAAATGGGTTTTCACTGAATAGTGACTTGTGATGTAATCAATGGGGAGTGCCACACGTCAAACATTCCTGCTTTATCTTGAAGAAACATAGTAGAAATCTTATAATATATAATAAGGATGACTGGTGCCATCTAAGAAATAAAAACACTAAATAAAAGTGATAGATCACATGCTATATATCATTACTAAAAATCATAGTGTAATTACAACAACTTCATAAGTTACCGGAAATATGTACATTATTATAGAAATCCATGCTAGATAGATTTGAAAAATTCCCAGTATTGCTTATTTTAGAAAAAAACTTAATATTTAAATGATTTACAGAATAACAGACTATTTTTTCCTTTAAATAATCACTTCCAGATTCTGCATGTTTTCCCCAGTGTTCATGTGTTTCAGACAATTAATGAAATTTTCGAGAATGTCAGAAGGTAATTTCTGAAATGAAGCACAAAATTTATTTTCACAGGTCATCATCTGGAGAGAAGGCTTATGTTCAGGTGACTGAAGTAGCCTTATACATGAATAGCACCTCCCTCCAGAAATCTTCCGAAGAGGCCAAAACCCTAGAGGATAACACTTTGATTATTTAACATATAGCAACACACACAGCACAGATCAAGTTGTGTCAGGATCCGTACAGTCCTGACCAAACCACTGTAGAAATGGTGGTTCTGGTCTTCTGTAGGCAGCTAATTTCCCCTTTCCCTGTCTACTCCCAGTGTATGGACAGAGCATGTGACCAGCTCGGGGGCATTTATTTCCACAGTATATTTAATATAGAAATCAAATTCTACACTGAACCATCCTTATTTCAATTACTTCAGTGCAATAAAAAAAAAGTATGCCTTTCTTGCATATCATATAAGTCTTGTGTCTTTAGTTGGTATTTATTACACAAGACACTATTAATCCACATGCCACTGTATTATATATAAAACATATCATCACACCGTTCATAAAACCTTAAAAATACATACGTATAACTCCAATGACTGGCATTTTTAATATATATCCACGTTCGCAATCGCTATGCGATGCTTGGCGCATGCCAGTTTTAAGTTCGATTAAGTTCTCATTACACCACTTCCTTCTCCCATTATCACAAGTTCAGTCTATCTTAGGGTCCTCGAATTCTACTGGACCAGCGCATAGGTTGTGGCACAGCTGATTTCTTGGGTAACCTGGTTGTATCAGCAGCAGGTCCGGTGAATGGAACTTCTGGTAAAATCTTGGGCTTGGAAGACAACACAGACTCATCTCTCTGGTAGCTATTATCTTTGGATAGTTCTGGAACTCCACTCGTATCCGGTTCCCTGGAAACATGAGGGCTGGAGGTGGACGTATGAAACCCTCATCAGTGATGGTTCCTCCATCACTCATCTGGTCGACATGTCGCTGCTATAGCTGACCGTCTACATTTATAGTGTAATGTAGCTGTCATTCTTATATTGAACAGTTACAAATCTTCATTGTCATATAACCTTGGTGATACTTTCTTACTGCCACTTAGTCATCAACCCCAAATCCTCGGTCTGCAAACTCATAAGTTCCTTTTCGAACTCTGTCTTCCATCCTGCTTTTGAGATCTAGTCTCAAAAAATCTATTCCTGTTCAAATTTCCCTCATCAGCATTGCAGGACTCTATAGAGTAAGTTACATTCGGAGCTTTTCTGAATTGCATTAAAAACATACTGAGTTTTTGTTCCCGGATAATTTTGCGTGGTTCTTAAGGAATGTTTTACTGTAAACACATACCATCAGCCTGCTGATTACTAGATGGTTTAAATAGTGCTGTGGTTTTTTGTTTGATTCCATTACTCTGTAGGAATATCTTAAACTCATGTTAAGTCAACTGTAGCCGTTATCACTCGCTAACAACATTGGTTATTCAAAACTATTTTTGAAAGTATTTTTGATATTCTTATCTATGCCATTTCAAAACACTTAAAATCTAGCATTTGCTTTCATCTTTATAGTCCTTAAGTGTCCATGGTGCAGCTCCTTCAAAACATTCTCACGGTATCATTTTTGAATACAAACAAGCTGCCCATATTGGAGACATCTTGTACAGCCATCTTGGAGACTGTACTCCATTTACCACCACTTTGAAGTATTTGTAGCAAAGGACTGAGCTCTGCATCAGTCTGTTTCTTTAGCCAAATCTGTGGCAGTGACTGGATGAGTTTCAATCTGTTGTAATTGAAAAATAGTTACATCATCCTGAATAGATAGTTGCTCTGAGTTCGTCGGTAATCCTGATAGAAAGCCAGCATTACCATGCTCGTTTGTTTTACGGTTGCTGCCAAAACTTGCAAGCCTTTCTTTGAGCCGAAAATTGCAAATAAGATATTTATGATCTGTAATTAACGTAAACTTCCTGCCTTTTAAGTAGAGAAGAAATTTGTTTCCCAGATGACTGACAAGGCTTCTTAATCAGTTTGAGAATATTTTTCTCTGTTTCTGTGAGTATTCTAGAAGCATATGCAATTGGCCTTTTCATTCTGTCAGGAAGTTTGTGAGAAAATACTGCACCTAATCCTACTGGTGATGCATCAGTTGCCAACGTTAAGGCTAATTTTGGATCATAATGCATCAAAACGTTTTGCAAACACAATTCTTTTTTAATATTAGCAAAAGCCTCCTGACAATCTCTTGTCCAAACATATTTTCAGTTTTTCTTAGTTAATTGGCATAGAGATTTGTGATTGTCGCTAAATTTGAGCAAAATTTCCCATAAAAATGAATTAATCCCAAAAAACTCTGAATTTCTTGGACATTTCTGGGTCTTGGAGCTTTTGCTATCGCTGATATTTTATCATTGGTTTTATGTAAACCATTAACATCAATTTTATGACCTAAAAAGTATATCTCATCCTGAAAAAAGTTTGGTTTTCTCCAAATTTAATTTTAGACCACGAGTTTTACATTTCTCAAAGAATTTTTTAAAAGTATTTAAATGTGCATTATCATCCGACCCTGTTATTTGCGCATCAATCCATGAAGATTTTACAACTTCTATTTTTTAGAATAGTCTGTCTTTGTCTGTCTTTTGTCTTTGTCTTTGATTGCTGGTGTGCTGCATTTAGCCTGAACATTAACCTCTTATATATAATCCCTTCTGTGTGTTTACTGTTAGAAATTTTTGAGTTCTCAGGTTTTACTTTCATTTGCAAGTAAGCTGCTTAAAATAAGTTTTTGAAAAATGCTTTCACCTACTCAAACATGAAAATATTCCTCAGTGGTTGGCAAAAGGTGCTGATGCATAACAATATTTAGGTTTAAACTGTCACAGAGTAGTCAGCACATAGTCGTATAGAGCCCGTCCGACTGAACTACTGGTACTACCAGAGTTGCCCATTGTGAGGATTATACCCTCCTTTTCCAAGTGATCAATTTTTTCATCTATTAGGCCTTTTAACACCCAAGTTGAACCACATTTTTTTTTTTATTCTCTGTAATTTTCCATCAAAAATCTCTTTATATTACTGTAATTTATTCAAACTACCTTTTTGAGAGACAGAAATTGACTTTATTGAGACCCAATCTAAATTTATCTCTGAAAGCCATTCGCGACCAAATATTGTATCAAGATTTTCTTTAACAATATAAAGATTTAAGTTTTTATTTTGACCTTTTTAATTCTACATTAACTATAATAAATCCTAAAAGTATCAGTTTTTCTGCATTATTTGTTTTAAATACCAGACTTGTATTTTGAAATTTTTTTTTCGAAATTTGCCGGAAATCTTTTAAACTCATTATCAATGCTGCACCCCCTGTGTCCAGTTCCATAGCTACTGGTTTTCCTTCTGTTTTCACTTGGACCGTTATGGGTGGTTTCCTATTTTTCACCTCGCTGAAATTTATGCTGTTTATAGGAACTGTGATTTCGTTTCCTACATCGGGTTGTTTTTGCTTTGCCTTTTTCTTTTCAGCGTTTTTAGTGTTAAAGCATACTCTTTCGTTATGCCTGATTTTCTTACAAAATCTGCTTATACTTACTTATCTTAAATTTACAAGAATATCTATCATGGTCAGTTCCCAGTGCATTGCAAACACATTTTACCTTAAGTATTCTTTGATGAGAAGTGTTGTTTTTCCAACTTTTGTTTTTGAGTAACCAACTTAGATATACTTTATTCCTGGCACTAAACTCCTTAATTTTTACTGGTTTCCCTATTATTTCGTTTGTACCTTTTCATGCTTAAAGTGTCATCTAAACTGATATTATCCTGTTCAAAAATTCTCTTATACCAGTAACAAACATATCCCACAACATCGTATTTAGCATGTTCTGCTCGTAAGCACACGGTATGGCAAATATATCTTAACTCTGCCATATACACCCTAATTGTTTCCCCCCTTCATGCTGTTTTCAATTTTAAAATACATGCCTGCTAGGAATTATAAGTGGCTTATGGTTTAAATGATTTCTCAATGTTATTTTTAACACATCATAATCTTTATCGAAAGGATTATCAGGAGCCAGCAAGTTTTTTAAAAGACAATACATTTTTCTGAGCAAACTAGAAACGGGTACTTTCCCATGTGTATGCCTTGAAATATTTTGTATATCTAAATAACTTTCAATTCTTTCTAAAACTGTATCGAACTGTTTTCATGTTCATTATGTTTTTCGAACTGAACAGAAATTTTCAAATTATCCATTTGTAGAATAATAACTGGAGTAGTTTTCTCCATCAGAGCTTTATTTTGTTATATTAGCTCAATTACAAGCTGCTGCATGTTAATTCCCCCGAAAATAATGATTATAAAAGTTGTTCCTTGAGCTGTCTGCGGGAATTCCCCTAATCCAAAGCTACCACTACGATTAAGTTCTCGTTACATTGCAATAAGTGTGTTTCGAATGATTTTGAGCTGAAGACATTGCTTGAGGAACAAGGAAAAAATATTTTTCTTGGCTGTTGTTGAATTAAGTTCTTGAAATTTAAAGTTTATGGAATTAAAAATTTAATGGGTTATTAAATTAATGGAGTAATATTTTTTATGTATCCGTAATTATTTATTTTCATATTTCATACATTTACAGCTGAACAGGTTATAAAAACTGCCTTTTCAAGGGCCAGTCCAGCTTTTGTTTTGTAAAACTGGAAGAAAATCAGTTGAATTAAATATCTGATAAATTTTTAAAGTAGTTAACTGAATAATCTTTTTGTATTTAAAAATTGCATTTTAGTGGCATTATCTAATAAGTGAATAAATACAATCAATAGATCACATACTACATATTACTAAATTTGTTATATTCTAAGAAAAGGAATTTAAGTTGTAAGCTTTTATCATATATACAGTCTTTAAAATTTTAAATAATTGAAAAATTATTTTTTATTATTTCCCCCAAAAAACCCTTTTATAAATGAAGCTAAATGAAAAACTGCTAATAATATAAAACTTGCTGAATATTATAGAGGGAAAAAAGGCAGATTAGCTACCATTAATGGTTTTAATTCCTATATCAAATTTTAAGTTATCAGTAACTGATTTAAGTGAATAAATAAATATGTTTCTTTGAACTGTAGTTATTGTTCTAACTGTTCTTGGTGTTTCAGAAATCTAATTTTTGCAAAATAGCCTTTCCTAAACATCTCAAGGTGAATGTGTTTGAAGTTGTAGTTAACAATTTTGTAAAAGTATGAATTTCTTATAACCAAATTAAAAATATGAACTTTTCTTCAATTAAACTGTGAACATGGAAAGAAAACTAAAAAATCAATAAAGTATAATATATAGACAAAGTTCACCTAAGGGTTCCCCGGAGGCAGAATGTCTAAAGGCAGCTAAAATTGGGGGACATTTTGCCTCAGATTTGATTTTTAGTGGCTGAAGAGACTGATTTATTTCTGTAGATAAAGTTAGCTTATGTTTTTATAGGATTTATTTATTCTGTAGATAAAGTTAGCTTATGTTTTTATAGGATTTATTTATGTAGATAAAGTTAGCTTATGTTTTTATAGGGATGGTTTACCATGCATATGCTGTGGTGCAGCATTTCACCGAATGGTTAAATTTTTGTGTTTTTTACTGTCATAAATAAAAAATTGCTGACAGCATCATTTATGTTAATGTGAGCACTTTTAGAATTGAGCTCTCTTTGATGTTTCTGAGTGTTGATTCTCAGAATTATAAGATGAGTAATTTAATTGAGACTTGAGATTTTGACATTCAAAATGATAAAATATTTACTTTATCTGAATCACTGAGATTTCATAGAAAAAATTATTGTTATAGCTTAGACGTGAGTGTATATTTGTTTTATTCCTGCAGAAGAGTTTTTGTATGCAGCACAGCAAATGTCCCAGATCACCCCCCTAGAAGTAGATGTCCTCTTTCAGTTAGCAGGATTTCTTCATGCAGATACAGGGTATGATTATAAATTTTATATGTGAACCTTTATTTGACTGAAAATGTACTAATAAATGGGGATTTATGAATTGTTTATTCATTCCTTATTTATTGTGGGAAGAGAAATGTGTTTTCATTCAGTTTTAAAATTGTATGATCTTTGGTAATTATTTTATAAAAATATTTTTCCCATGCACTAAAAGTCGGCTAAGATCTTGCCAAACTTATGCTAAAGTTATGGATCTAGCATATAAATAACTCCAAACGTGATTGGAAACAGAGAAATAACAATTAGTCTTTGTACAAAAACCAAATTAGCTTGTTGAGAACTGATTGGAGCTGCTTAAACCTGAAGATCTTATGAGTTTGTTGCAACATCATGTTTATCTGTTATTGGTACGAAATCATATAGTTTGGCAACACATTTAATTAGCAGAAAATGATTTTGCCTCCTCATGTCTTAATCAAAAACTGTCACTTTCAGACTCAGAAATGTCTTTTTTAGTTTGAAATCTTCTATCTTGAAAATATATGATCAGATAGATATGAGATATCTTGAAAAGAATTGCTGTATCTGCAATCTCTCCTAATCTCATCCCCCCCCCAAAAAACACCTTAGGTAGTATTCCCCCCATCTCCCCTGCCCCCCCCAAAAAAACCTATGACAAAATTAAGAAAGAACACATTTTCTGCAACGGGTAGAAGGCAGTCATTATTTTATCATACATCATAATTGCAAATTGTAGATTTGAGATGATAGACAACTAAGAGGCGAGATTTCATTTTTAATGATAGTTTTAAACTGTTTTAGATAGTGAGATTGAAAAGGTATACTATATTTTATGGTATTCCTCAGAGAAAACACCACAGGGATTTAGGTTAAGAGAATTCAGTAGTTTATTTCCTCACTAAGAAATCTGGAATAATTGAGGGCAAGAACTGTGCTGTTGGAGTACTGATTTAAAAGTTTGGGACCTCGGTTAGTCTACAATGTTTGGCTATATCTTGCCTAAATCAGGAACTATTAACAACATCAAGTACTATTTGGATTCTTTCTTTTAAGTTTTTGATGCAAAAATGCAAATGCTCGAGTAATTCCTTCTAATAATTTAAGTAGAGAGGGTCTCAAAGAGAATAATTAGAGAATTTAAGTAGAAAAGGTTTCAAAGAAAATAATTAGAGAATTTAAGTAGAGAGGGTTTCAAAAAAAAATAATTTAAGTAGAATTAGTAGAGGGGTTTCAAAGAAAATTAGAATTTAGTAGAGGAGGGTTTCAAGAGAAAAGGTTTCAAAATCCCTTCAGCAGATGGACACAATATGCTGTTAATTGTTAGGGTGCATTTAGCTGCCTTAATAATGTGGGATTTAATACCCAAAGTCAGAAGTTTGTTTGCTGACCAAGTCACTGAGCTCCATTTAAACACCATTTTTCCAATTGTACAGGCATTCCACATTTCAATCAAGATATGTCTTGGGAAATATATTCATTCTCTATATACAGTAAATTCCAGAAAACCGCAAAAGCTTGGGAGCAGAGGTTGTGCGGATTTCAGGACAGAAAAGATAAAGCATAATATTCGCACTAAAAGTGCAAAATGAATAAGGTATATTAGATACATTTAATTGTTTGTTGCAACATCATGTTTATCTGTTATTGGTACGAAATCATATAGTTTGGCAACACATTTAATTAGCAGAAAATGATTTTGCCTCCTCATGTCTTAATCAAAAACTGTCACTTTCAGACTCAGAAATGTCTTTTTTAGTTTGAAATCTTCTATCTTGAAAATATATGATCATGATAGATATGAGATATCTTGAAAAGAATTGCTGTATCTGCAGATATCTCCTAATCTCATCCCCCCCAAAAAAAACCACCTTAGGTAGTATTCCCCCCAGCTCCCCCTGCCCCCCCAAGAAAAAACCTTTAATGACAAAATTAAGAAAGAACACATTTTCTGCAACGGGTAAAAGGCAGTCATTATTTTATCATACATCATAATTGCAAATTGTAGATTTGAGATGATAGACAACTAAGAGGCGAGATTTCATTTTTAGTGATAGTTTTAAACTGTTTTGAGATAGTGAGATTGAAAAGGTATACTATATTTTATGGTATTCCTCAGAGAAAACACCACAGGGATTTAGGTTAAGAGAATCAGTAGTTTATTCTCACTAGAAATCTGGAATAATAGGCAAAACGTGCTGTTGAAGTACTGATTTAAAAGTTTGGGACCTCGGTTAGTCTACAATTTGGCTATCTTGCCTAAAAGGAAATATTAACCAACATCAATACTATTTGGATTCTTTCTTTAAGTTTTGATGCAAATGCAATGCTCGAGTAATTCCTCTAATAATTTAAGTAGAAGAGGTCTCAAAGAGAATAATTAGAGAATTTAAGTAGAAAGGGTTTCAAAGAAAATAATTAGAGAATTTAAGTAGAGAGGGTTTCAAAGAAAATAATTAGAGAATTTAAGTAGAGAGGGTTTCAAAGAAAATAATTAGAGAATTTAAGTAGAGAGGGTTTCCAAGAGAAAGAGGTTTCAAAATCCCTTCAGCAGATGGAGCACAATATGCTGTTACATTGTTAGGGTGCATTCAGCTGCCTTAATAATGTGAGGATTTTCAATACCCAAAGTCAGAAGTTTGTTTGCTGACCAAGTCACTGAGCTCCATTTAAAGCGACCAGTTTTTCCAGATTGTACAGGGCAGTTCCACATTTCAATGCAAGATATGTCTTGGGAAATATATTGCATTCTCTATATACAGTAAAATTCCAGAAAACCGCAAAGCTTGGGACCAGAGGTTGTGCGGATTTTAGGATTTTGTGGATTTCAGGACAGAAAAGATAAAGCATAATATTCGCACTAAAAGTGCAAAATGAATAAGGTATATTAGATACATTTAATTGTTTGTTGCAACATCATGTTTATCTGTTATTGGTACGAAATCATATAGTTTGGCAACACATTTAATTAGCAGAAAATGATTTTGCCTCCTCATGTCTTAATCAAAAACTGTCACTTTCAGACTCAGAATGTCTTTTTTAGTTGAAATCTTCTATCTGAAAATAATGATCATGATCGATATGAGATATCTTGAAAGAATTGCGTATCTGCAGAATGTTCCTAATCTCATCCCCCCCAAAAAAAAAAAACCACCTTAGTTATTCCCCCCGCCCCCCTGCCCCCCCAAGAACCTTTAGACAAAATTAAGACGAACACATTTCGCACGGGTAGAGGCAGTCATTATTTATCACATCATAATTGCAATTGAGATTTGAGATGAAGACACAAGAGGCGAGATTCTTTTAGTGTAGTTTTAACTGTTTGAATAGTGATATTGAAAGGTATCTATATTTTATGGTATTCTCAAGAAAACACCACGGATTAGTTAATTCAGTAGTTTATTTCCTCACTAAAATCTGGATAATGAGGCAAGAACTGTCTGTTGAAGTACTGTTTAAAGTTTGGGACCCGTTAGTCTACAAGTTTGGCTCTATCTGCCTACTAGGAACGATAACACATCCGTACGATTTGATCTTTTTTAAGTTTTTGAGCAAATGCAAATGCGCGCTAATCTCTAATATTTACGTAAGAGGGCTCAAAGAGATATTAGAGAATTGAAGTAGAAAACGGTTTCAAAAAAATAATCGAATTTAAGTAGAGAGGTTCAAAGAAAATAATTGAGAGATTTAAGATAGAGGGTTTCAAAGAAAATAATAGAGAATTAAGTAGAGAGGGTTTCAAAGAGAACGAGTTTCAAATCCTCAGCAGATGGAGCCAGTATGCTGTACATTGTTAGGGTGCATTCAGCGGCCTTAATAATGTGAGGATTTGCAATCCCAAATCAGAAGTTTGTTTGCTGACCAGTCACTGAGCTCCATTTAAGCGACCATTTTTCCAGATTGTACCGGCAGTTCCACATTCATGCACGATATTCTTGGAAATATATTGCTTCCTATATACCGAAAATCCAGAAAACGCAAATCTTGGGACCAGAGTTGTGCGGATTTGAGGATTTTGGATTTCAGGACAAAAAGATAAGCATATATTCGCACTAAAATGCAAAATGAATAAGTATATTAGATACTTAATTAAATTATTATATACATATCGCAATAATTATTATATGCATTAAATTATTATTACATATATAAATTGATTATATTATCATGTATTAATGTACACAGCATCGAGGTTGCCGATTTCGCCTCATGCGAGATTTCCAGGTTTCGGATTCGGTTAGAATCACTGTTGCTGTAAATTTCACAGCTCTTTTCTTATTTTCCTTTATCGTCACAATTGTACGCATTCATGCGATTCTGCTATTCGCTGCACTTTTTGCATACCGTATTGCAACGTGTTACGTTTTTCAACGTGCCAGTGAAATCACGGTGATTTCTTATCAGTCATTGTATTAAACAGGGCTGAAATTTAAAATATTCTTATTTATCCACAAATATCTGGATAAAAAAAGGCAGCAATAAAAACTCGGAAATGAAATAACAAAAGCTCAGAAAATACAACAACTGATCGTAACTTGACAAAGAGTTAAGTGAACGTCTGCTTTTTACCCATGCAGAATAAAGGGGAAAAAACTTATTTTTTTAAACTTTTTTATATCAATAATTTGGTATTTCCATTTTGACTCATTATTATTCGGTAATTATGACGTCATTATTCGTAAGTATTTTTTTCTTCGATATTTCGTATTCAATGTTGCGTTTCCGTAATGTATAAACTGGATGTTTATATTCTGAGAGGCAACACAGATTTCAGGTCGGCGGATTTTCGGTATTTGACTGTATTCCTGGATTTGGTAAATGTAGTTGATATGTTTTGTTAGTATTGCTTCTTAAGTAATAAAGAATTTTTTTGAGTTGTGAGGTATATATTGAATTATCAAATATTTGTGCTTTATGGACATTTAATGCATTCATTGGAAATGACCAAACACATCATCATTAGCTAGCTTATCGCCTAAAGTGTTGCCTAGAGTGTATCTCAGGGGCTGACCGAATTACACCCACTAGAAATGGGGAATTACATCACAGTTTGGAGAACACCACACAAGACAGATCTAAGGATCTTCCTATTGTCTTCCCTTATCTTCAAACTCTTAAGAACTTTCTTCAAAGACGCTTTATACTTACAGCGCAATCTATATCCAGGATTTGAACTCAAGCCCAAGGCTATGGTAGCCAGCTTTTCTATCAATATGCCAACAAGGTAGAGCTTTCTAAATGTACATTTTAGAGAATTTGTTAGATTCGCAAAAGAACTGATTTGTGAAAGAATTTCTGGATTTCTATTCCAGCTGAATTTTATGCATGAAAATGGCCAGTGCTTGCCATATGATATAGAAGTAAGGCATTTCACAAACATTCTAGTTGATAGATTCCAGCATTTATTCTATCTGAATAATAATAATAATAATAGTAATGTCAGGTGTACACAATCTAAATTAGCATTTCTCAAATTCTGTGTTTAGCTCAGTATTGTCATGAAAGTAAAATGCCGGAAAGCTAATTATTTTATTTGAACAAATGTTAAACTGTAATATACTTTACCTATGATGTTTTTCAATTATTTTGTTTCTTTAGGCGTGTAACATATGATGATTTAGAATTAATAGCACCTCATAGGCCTACAAAGTTTTTATCTAGACCACTTGCTGAAATGAAAGCTGTACAAGTAAGTTACATTTTAAAATAATTACATTTTCAATTTCTTTAAAGTTTATATGATAATCCTACCAAAGAGTCACATATATTTTTCCATTCTATATATTCCATTTCTGCATTGTACAGAGAATCATAGCATTTTGTTTTCAAGGAATCTTGAACATTGTGAAATAAATGGCAGTGATATTTCATGATGAGGTGATGATGATTTCCATCAAATGAATATTTTTATCCATTGTTATTGTGTACATATTTCATGTGAGTCATTGAAGTCTGTTATGTAATATTGTTTCTGAGTGAATGTTTTTTGAGAAATACTGTTGGATAACATAATAAATTGTGTTTTCTTGGAAAAGTTTGATGAAAGGAGCACAAGACGAACATCATATCACATGTTAGCAAAGAATTTGAAATAATAGATGTCTTTTGGGTTAATACTTTGGTTGCCATTCTCTAAATAATATTCAGAAACTTATAACCATTTTGTATAGCTTTATTTATTTATTTTGTGCATAGGTGCTTGAAGTGTCTTGCTTACAGAAGCAAATTATAGTTGTCAGAAAGCTTGGAAAGTAGCATTAGACGTTCATAATAATAATTTTCACATTGGAGCATGTTTCGAGATTAGTGTTATGTATTTGTAGTTTTTTGGTTTAATGAATGGTGTTATATTTCCATTCTGTTTAGCATCCATATGCATGTATGGTCGGTCCCTTGGTCATGTGTGATCTATCAAGCTTATCTGCAAATGTGATCTACAAATAAATTTATGCAAAGATTAGAGGTCAGCTGTAATAAAATTTTTAATTTCTCAAATCCATATTAAAATTCAAGTTTTACGTGCTTATAAATCTTTAATTTTGGGATGTGACTGATATAACTCTTAAAATATTGACTACTGCTGAATGCTCAGTTGTCAATATATGTATGATGCGAATTAATTTTGCATTTTTTGCATGCAAACCATTATGGCTGTGTAGTTAGTTATGCTAATATGTGAAAATTTTTATTTTTAGTTATTTTAATTTGAAGTGTTCATTTGTTCAAAAGGACCGGAATGCCTTCAAGAAACGAATGAAAAATGTATTACAAAAATAAATTATTAGGATTGTATTTAAAGTGCAGAAATTCAGAGAACAGTTTAAATTCATTCTCTGTATTTGAACCATCCTTTCCCCTTTCCCCTCTGTCTGTAATATGAATTCTTTGGTGTACATTGTCAAGTTTGGCAATTTTAAAATGAGTTCACCTAGAAAATTTTGATTATGGGATTTGTGAATTTTTTAACAATAACAATGGCATATTGAAATTACATTTTTGAGAGGCATATTATTAACATAAAATATTTATATTCATCTATCACATTTTAAACCATCTTTCATTTTGACAATTTTTAATAGCTTGATTCTGAAATTTAAACAAGATAAGTATTAAAAAAATGGACTTTTTTGAATTACTTTTTAGCAAAAGCTAAAATACTATAGTAAGTATCTAAAAACTTAATTTAATATCCCCAATTCTTTTATATGTCTTTTCCCCTGTATCTCTTTCAAAATATTTAGAAATGTGTTAGCTTTCTCTGTAAAACTAATTTTTTGTTTTTTCTAAATTGTCTAAGAAAAGCTTCTGTTTTTTACTCCCAAGAAGTTTGTATATATTTTAATGGCTAAAAGTGCAGCTAAAAAACCTGTAACAAAAAGAAAAATATATTGCTGATGTTCATACAGAATAGACTATTTTACAGTAATATTCTGATGGGTTTCTCATGTTTGTTCAAGAATTTTCAGAAAAAAGCAGTGAAAATTAAGTTGTCTGGATTTTCTAGGATAGTACTTTATTGTTTTCTGACCTCCATTATTTAAACAGCAGCAAGAGCTGGCATATTCTTTGACTGCAACAAAACGGCTATTCTACTTGGAATTTGTTACATGTTAAACCGACTGTCAGTTATTTAGGCTAGGTCTGCTGATCATTTGGTCACTGTTTGCCTAGAGCTCTGAGTGGATATGTTGCTTTAACTTAATAGACTAGCAAGAAGGCTGATGGTACCATTTAAATGTGAGGGACTGTATTAATGAAGTACTTTTCTGCTTTTGATACCAAATGTCTTTATGTTGATACAGTTCTATTACCTATATTTTGTATTTTATTTTATTTAATCTTCTGTATCAAAAGTATGGAAAATCGCAAAAATGAATCCCTTCTTGCCATTTGGAGGCATCTATAGAAGGGATTTCTTTTTTAATACAGGTAATGGAAATTGACTATTTAAAAGAATTATCTTATTATTTATGTACAGGGATGTATATGCAATCATCGGTTCTGTGTGCATTTAATCATAATGTATTAAATGCACACAGAACCGATGATTGCCTGATAAAATTTATTTTTTCCAAAAGAAACACATTACAATTATGGAACTGTAAAAAAGTACTTGTACAGCTCCTCTCAGTATGACAGAGCACAATTAGTAGTTGCCACTTCAAACTACTACGAACATTAAACACAACGTGATGCAACGATCATCAAACAAGCGAAGCTCGCATGGAGATTTCTCAATACTCTGAACTAAACTGAAAATTGATGCTCTCTCCAGTTTTATTATAGTTTTTCCCAGGCCGAGAAATTTCCAGTACCTTCGATTTCTCGAAATTGCTGGAAGGCATACACAGTTATACAGAGATTGGACCAAAATGTCACCTAATGGTCACCAAATTTGGCAACAAATATTAATCGCCAAAACTATCACTAGCTTGCTGCTTTACCACAATGTTAAATAGACCTGGCCCTATAATCTTATTTTTTATGGCAGAGCTTCACATTCTTGAGCATTTCGTGTTACATTTTACAGCAGATACTATGATTTACATATAACATCACTAAAATTGTATACATACATAAAAAATCTGTCATAAATCTGAACACACATTATATCATATACATATATTTTTTTTTCTGGAGTTAATCTGTATATCTGAATTTACTATAGAAGTATGATTAGCAACTTTGCATTCTAGATACATTTAGTTTTTTAGAGCAAGTTAAAAAATATTATGTTAACTTTAAGAGAGAGAGCTGATGATACATACATATAATACTACTGGAAGCCAATGCTTAACACTTCATAAAATTATAATTTATTTTGAAACAGGCTCAGAAGCCATCAGTAGTTCTTTACACTTCAACATGGTAAACAAAACTAACTAAAATTAAACTCAGTGGCACAACAGCCCTAGTGGGCCATGGCCTAGAATGCATCAGCATACCCTGTGCAAGTGGTTAGCTTGTTGCAGGACCCCAGGCGTTTAGCCCCCAAGTGAACTTGGTACTCATTTTATCGACTCATTCAAGGGATGAAAGGCTGAATCAACCTTACCCATCCCAGGGATCAAACCCTGAACCTGTGGTGCAGCTGTATGATGCACTAGCTACTTTGCCGGGCAGTGGCCCCCCCCAAAAAAAAACACTTACAGTAATATGATGTATAGAATATACTCGTAATTAGGAAAAAATGCAAGTAATAATAAAATGCTGAATCTGCCTTAAAATACTCTAAAATATGTTAAGAACAGTCACTACCTTATAAGGTATTTCTCCCACTTCCCTAGTGTGCCTTCGTGGTGTAACAGTAGTACGCTGGGCTGGTATTCCAGAGGTCCATGGTTCGATTCCCGGCGAAGGCAGTTACTATTTTTCATCTTTTCTGCTTCCAATTAACCTAATGACCTAACTACATTTCTTCTAAGTGCTATACATTTTTGGGGGAAAACAGACTCAGGTTAGGTAAATTTGAGGTAAAAAATCTAGTAAAAAAAATCAAGATTAGCATTGGATTCGGAAATGTACGTGTCCCCAGAAAAATCAGACGTACAATGATCTAGAATCAGTTAAAAAGGTATAATTTATTTTACATATTTATATAATTGTTTTAAAAAACATAAAATTTTTAAACAATAAAAAGTTTAATATATATTATAAATGAGTAGATATATTTATTACTAATATAATTTTATAATACACTAATACAAGTAATTACTATATATTATTTTTTCTTGCCGTGGATAAAGCAAATTTATCAATTACTTCATCAAAAGTCGATCATTTCAAATTTTTCTGTTTTCGTATTTAAAAACGGTAGATCACTTAGGCGATCTTGTCTCATCGTTAATTGTAAGTATGTCAAAATTAATTAAAATTTGCTGAATGAATGTTCATAGCTAGCATTTGTTAATGATTGCTCTATGAGGCATAACAAAAACCTGATTTGAGATTTTATTTTGAAATACTTCAACAATTCCACCTTCAAGCTGTTCTTCGATTATTTTTGTATATTCTTTATGCATTTCTACATTCTTATCCAAACTTATCACTCAAAAGCTTAAAACGCTTCTTTACAATATTAACTTTATTACTTAATTCATCAGGATTGGATTTCCAAAGTAATTTAGCTTGATATCTACCCTTATTAAAGGATAAATATTTTTCAAATTCATTCATTATTTATTTATATTTAACAGAATTCTATACTTTCTTCTGAAATACCAGTTGAGTGTAATTCCCACAGGGTTGCCACGCTACCTGGAAAACTAGAAAGGGAATTTGAAAATCAACCAAAATAGTCTGGGAAAAGTCAGGGATTTTAAGTATTTTAGTTAAAATCTGGAAAAACCAGGGAAATTCATAGGTCAATTCCTCCCCAAAAAAGCGAGTTTTGTGCCAACGCTGGAAGCAATCACTTTCTTGGGACATTATGTATCACGTGAGTGTCATTCGGGTAGCTGGCGTAGAGCCATTTTTCGCAGCTCCATCAGATTGTCTTTAAAGGTAAAGCAAGTTTCCAGCAACTTTGATTTCCAGTAACCTCGAGAATCTAGAGGCTCACATGTGCAGTGCATGTTGAAATATCTTCCCATTCTCGTATAAAACAAAACTGATTTAATCCTAGTATAGGGTACCATGGAGGTTAGAATAGTCTCAATGTACTACTCTATTCTAACCTCCATGTATGGT